TGTGGTCCAAGATGGAAACCGCAATATTCTTCCTGTTGCGTTTGCCCTCGTTCAAGGAGAAGACACTGAGTCTTGGGCTTTTTTCCTTAAAAATTTACGTTTACATGTTGTCACCAGGGAACGACTATGCATTATTTCAGACCGAGGAGCCGGGATAAAAGCAGCAATGGACTCTTTGGGTACAATGTATAGACCTCCACATGTTCAACATCGTTATTGTGTCCGTCATATTGCTGCAAACTATTACGGAAAATACAAGAAGAACGATGAACGTCAGTTAGTCGTGCGGATGGGTATGTTACTTTTTCCCAATTTTTCTATCAATTTCTTATTACTTATTTATACTTCATATTAACTATTACATATTCCTAATGGCTTAGGTTACGAACTCTTACCTCAAAGGTTTGAGTCGATGCTACAAGAGCTGTTTGGCAAAAATAAGAAGGGGTGCGAGTACATTATGGACATCAACAAAGAAATGTGGACAAATGCATATGACGGGGGGTATCGCTATGGTCATATGACAACAAACTTGGCTGAAGCAATAAATTCAACCTTAAAGGGGGCGCGTCATTTACCAGTCACGGCGTTGGTCAAAACGACTTATTTTCGTTTGGGTCAACTCTTTGCAAAACTCGGTGGACAAGCTCTTACTTGGATGCAAAACGGACATATTTACCACCCAAGACTAGTAGCCGATTTACAGAAAAAAGTGGCTACATCAAATGGGATGTTAGTTACAAATTTTTCTCGCACCCGTGAATTGTTTCGTGTAACCGAAATGCCACGTCCGCTGCAAGGGATTGAAGCTAACTCTTTCAGAGTTAATCTGCAAGAGAGGTGGTGCGATTGTGGTTTCTTTCAAGCACTCAAATATCCATGCTCTCATGTCATTGCTGCTTGCTCACATTCGCATTTGGACTACAAAAATTATGTTGATCCCGTATACCAACTTTCACAAGTTTTCAAGGTATATGAATTTGAGTTTCCGCCCATAGGAAACGAAAGAGACCCAAATGAGATTCAAACTTGGCTTACAATTGTACCAGATCCATTGCTATTGAGGGACTCAGGTCGTCCAAAATCTACTAGAATACATTGTGATATGGATATTCGGGAGAAGTCAACAGAACAAAAACGATGTGGGCATTGTAGAAACATCGGGCACAATAGAAAAAAATGTCCAGCTCTGTTATCATCATATAACCGTTAACTCTTATGTAATTAAAGTTTTTAAATGAATGTTTTTATTTCTAATAATTTAATGTTATTGCATTTATATAATTTGTCAATGTATGTACACCTAAATAAATTTTTTTAACTTTTAAATACATAAATATATTTAATATAATTATTTAATATAATATTTAATATTATTAGTTATAATTTTTTCGTTATAACTTTTAAATTTATTAAATTAAATTTTCAATAAGACTAATTTTATAAAATATGTAAGTCTTGAAGATTAAATATGTAATTATACTAATTTATTAACTTATGCATCAATATTTTCGTTAAATATTGATATGAGATGACTAGATTGATAACATTTAAATAATTAACTGATAAAATTAATAGATCGATAATCAAAATAAAAAATACTCGAAACTTGATAATTCTTACATTATATTCGAAACATTTTACATAATATATTATTAATTTATAATAATAATAAAAATAAACTATTTATTATAAAACAAAATACGTGTCTGCTGAGTTGGCAAAGGCGCGTCCCCGGGGACGCGCCTTTCACACGTGGCATCCAACTCAGCGAAAAACACGAGTAAAGCGCGCCCCGGGGACGCGCCTTTGCCAACTCAGAAGAAAATGTAAAAACCCCTTAGTTTTCTCGCTATTAATATTACTCTCTGCAAATTCTTTTACCAATTTTCTGATTTTTTTTTACAGAAGAAATTTTAGGAAGATGAAACGCCGAGAGGTTTCCAAAGCGTTGCGCTGGTAATTGGAGCCACCGGAATTGTGGGCAACAGCTTGGCCGAAATCCTCCCATTATCCGACACCCCAGGCGGCCCATGGAAAGTTTACGGCGTGGCTCGTCGCCCAAGGCCGGACTGGAACGCCGAGCATCGAATCGAGTACATCCAGTGCGACGTATCCAATCCCAAGGAAACCGAGTCCAAGCTCTCCCAACTCACCGATGTCACACACATCTTCTACGTCAGCTGGATCATGCGACCAACCGAGGCGGAGAACTGTGAAATCAACGGCTCAATGTTCCGCAACGTCCTGCGTTCCTTGATCCCGAACGCACCCAATCTCCGCCATATCTGCCTCCAAACCGGAGCCAAGCATTACATCGGACCGTTCGAGTTGCTCGGTAAAATCCAACCGCACGATTCGCCTTTCACCGAAGATTTTTCACGCTTAAACGCTCCCAACTTTTACTACACCCAAGAAGACATCCTCCTCGAAGAAATCAAGAAGAAAGAAGGTTTAACATGGTCGGTGCACAGACCCGACGTGATATTCGGCTTCTCGCCTTACAGTTTAATGAACATCGTCGGAACTCTTTGCGTTTACGCCGCCATTTGTAAACACGAAGGGTCACCGTTGTTGTTCCCCGGAACCAAAGTCGCTTGGGAATGTTACTGGGATACTTCGGACGCGGATTTGATTGCCGAGCAACATATATGGGCGGCGGTGGATCCGTTTGCGAAGAACGAAGCTTTCAACGTGAACAATGGCGATGTCTTCAAGTGGAAGCATCTGTGGAAAACCCTGGCGGAGCAGTTTGGGATAGAGAAATATGGATTTGAGGAAGGGAAGAACGCGGGGTTGGAGAAGATGATGAAAGGGAAGGAGAAAGTGTGGGAAGAGATGGTGAAGGTGAAGCAGTTGCAGAAGACGAGGTTGGAGGAGGTGGCGGCGTGGTGGTTTGTGGATATAATATTGTCGGCTCCGGCGGAGGCGCCGCTGTCTAGTATGAATAAGAGTAAGGAGAATGGGTTTTTGGGGTTTCGGAATTCCAAGAATTCGCTCATAACCTGGATTGATAAGATGAAGGCTTTCAAGTTTGTGCCTTGATCATTCAATCCTCTTAGTTTCCAGATTTTTTGTAACAAGAGTATTTGGAACCTGCGGTATTATTTCTCTTCAATTACTACTACTGTCGTACAATAATTCTAGTTCGATGTATATTTAATGTTTAGGGTAAACTACACTGCTACTCTCTGAACGTTTAAGAAAATTGCTTCTTAATCACTGAATTCTTAAAACAAACATTAAACTTTTTAAAAACTTAATTCAATTGTGGGTAAATTACACGCTTACTCACTGAACTTTATTCTTTTTCCTATTTTACTCACTGTACTTTCAATTTTTTCAATTTGCTCACTGAACTTTAGACATTGAACTTTTTTGGTCACTCGGTCGTTAAATTTCTAATGTCGTTAAATTAAAATTGAAAAAAATTGAAAGTACAATGAGTAAAATAGGAGAGAGAGTAAAGTTCAGTGAGTAAACATATAACATGTTTTATTATTAAAATAAGCCATGTGAGCACCCCGTTACTGAGTAAACGGTTGAGTGACCAACAAAATTCAATGTCTAAAGTTATATGAGCAAATTGAAAATATTGAAAGTACGATGAGTGAAATAGGAGAGAGAGTAAAGTTAAATGAGTAAATGTGTAATTTACCCTTCAATTACTATATACGAATATACTATTATAAAAACAAAGGGTAAACTATGCCTATAACCACTTAACTATTTTCCATTTTCATTTTGATCACTCATTTTTCAATTTTATTAATCAGATCATTTAACTATATAAATGTTTCAATAAAACCCTCGATCGTTAACATTTGACAGAGGAACTGATGTGACATTTAAAATAAATATGTATATTTATGCATTTGTTTCTTATTATTTACACATTCAAACATTTAATCTTAATTATAATTTTATTTAATAAATTTATTTCTTTAATAAAATTATGACATGTATCAAAAAAAAATTATTTTAATCTAATTAATTTAATAAATTTTCAATCCGATCAGAACTTAACACATCAATCTAGGAGAAAATAAGTTTTTTTTTTTTTTTTTGAATTGAAAGAAGCCTAAAGCTCAAGGGCTAGTACAGCAGGCGACATTCAGGTGTCGAAAACCGGAGGGGCAGCATTTGCTTCCAGGGTGAGGATATCAGCGACTTCCATAGAAAACAAGTTTTTAAGAGGAAGGCCGCCAATACATATGTTATATAATGCATTAAAACTTAAAGCAGAAAAAGAAACCATAAATGACTTGCAATGAATTTGAACTCAAGACTTCAATGGAGATTATGCATTACCTTCATCACTAGACTAAATAATATACTTGGAAATTAATTACATTTATATATATCATATACTATAGTTAATAGTAAAAATGAATAAGTAAGGACTTATATCTAATTTAATTGAGAAATAAAAGCACCTGGTTCACTAAAATAAATCTACTAATGGGGTTCGTTCAAATGATAAGTAACTTGATATCACTTAAGCAGGTCTTGAGTATATATAGTTTAGATATCTAAATAAAGAATATATAGTTTAGACATTTTTTTTATATTAAGTCTTACATTTAAGAGGGTTTTAACCTTGAACATTCTAAAAAAGTTCGAAAAGCTTGAATGAGAAACACCCGATTTATAACTCATAAATCTTAAAACAGTTATGAGAGATGGAGTAAAGAAGTTACAAAGTTGAAATCTTGAATTAACTTGTGCTACTTCCGCTTGTTCCAGGTAACGCCAGTGGAGTGGCTTACCAACCTACCTTTCCAAGATAAGTTGTCCATATATTCCTTCTGATCTCGGTCCCTACAACTCACTTAACCCATCACCAACTCACAAGACAGACATGAGGGATTTGTTGTTCTTTCCCCTCTACCATTACCAAGATTGGTAGGTTGAGTACCATTTCCAAGCTTTCAGCCCCATTGTTTCTTAAAGTAAATCAGTTTCTCCTGTATTGTGTCAACTTTCTTCTCACAACAACAATGGCTGAGCACACGGTTTTCACCCTCTTCACCCTCCAACAGGTTGCTCAACACAAATCCAAGAACAACTGTTGGCTCGTCATCCATGGCTGAGTAACCCTGCTTTCTTTTTCACCCAAACCAACCTATTATAAACTCATCTTTATGTAATAAATAATCAGGGACTAGGCTAATTCTTTCAGGTTCTGAACGTATCCAAGTTCTTGGAAGAACATCCGGGAGGAGAAGAGGTGCTGTTGGAATCGGCTGGGAAGGAAGCGACAAAAGAATTCAACGACATCGGACATAGCAATAAGGCTAAGAGCTTGGTCTTCGAGTACCAGGTTGGTGTTATCCAGGGTTACAGTTCAAACAACAATGAACATTTCCAGGTTACTTCAACTGAGGAACCTATGAAGAGAGAGATGAGTGCTTTCGTTATCAGGGATGAGCATAAACCTAAATTTGCCGGCCTTCTCGAGTTCATCATACCACTGTTGGTTTCTGTTTCCTATTTCTGTTACAGATACCTGACAAGAGGCTCATAAATGTTGTAATCGATTTGGTTTTCAAGATGAACCATCATCAAGTCAACCTCAAAATACCCATTTCTTCCCTTGAAATAAATCTCAGTCTGAATGGTAGTAATGTTATAATTTTACTCAAAATTTAGTAAAATTATTGTCCCTTCAGGTTATTGCAATGTGTTACCAACTTACCATATTTCGATTATTATTACAATTGGTAAATGTTGTAGCAACAGAAGTTCTCTCTTTTCCCCTTCCATATCCTAGTTGGTTACAAATAAAAAAGAAAAGGAAAAGGTGGGAAAAAATGGGGGGGGGATTCAAATGATACAGGCTATTAATACAATTTACCAAGGAAAACAGAAATAACATGGATTAAATGATCCGACAGGCTCAGTTCAACTCCCTAATTCCCCCAGATCCTTACTCAACTACAGGATCTGCCCTTCATCTGAAAAACCGAAGTTGGAAGGGAGAGGCAAGAAGTGGTCAAGGGAAAGAGAAGGAACAAAAGGTGCTCTTGCTTTTCGTCATGCTACCTCTCGCCCTAGACGTAAACGGGCATATCATCTGGTGAAAGCATAATATGTGCAACATATACACCTCAAGCACTTCAGACCAAATAATTTGTCACTGATTATAAATTGCTGGTCCAAGAGTGTCCTATTCATATATTATGCAATACGATCAAAACTGCATAGGATAAAAAAGAAGTTTAAGCTTCATAAACTTGGCTAACTAAATTTCAAAAATATGAATTTGGTTACATAATATTGCATAAGGTGAAGCAAACGACTTCATTGCAGTAACATATCAGGCACTTAAGTATTGATTCTAATTATCTTAATACATCCCATATGATTTCAGGCTTGCCATTGTTTTCTACCAGCATAGGGTTAATCCTTCACATAATAAATCCCTACGCCTATTTGTGCTATCCCATTGAAGTAATCCAACTTTAACTTGTTTACCATCTAATTGCCAAAAACTCCAACAGCAAAACCAAATTGTTTTGAAATCCTTCAACCAGATAGATTCAAAACCATTATTTGTGTATCCACCAGGAATTCTCCGTTATATTTAACCTGCTGTATCTTTATCAATAACAACTTACTAGTTTTCTCTTCTCTTAAGAACAATCAATCTTAGAGACCAAAAATGGTGCATTTATGAAATTTGTTAATTTGAAAATTTATACTCCATTTTTTATCTCATAAACTGCAAAGCTTTTGATGTACTATGCACCTGATGTCAGTATCATTTACTTTAATGGTTTGTCCACATTTAGTATGCATTTGGAATCTCAAGCTCTACTGATTCACTAATATTATGAACTAAGGAATCTAAGGTCCTATGGGCTTAGATATGCATATCTATTTGTTACTGGTCTCTGGGGGTACATTTTCTTCACATAAAGTTTTCTTCTTCTGGTCACTCTCCAGATCACACTGCCTTATGCCCCATTGCAATGAGAATTCACCATTTAAGCCAAGCAGCACAAAGCACAGATAACAGCCAAAGAATGAAATGCCTTTACTAATGATGTAAACATTGGTAAAGATTTTGCTCAAATTAGAAAAGAGAAGGAAATTTCATTGATGGGAAAGAACATGTAAACTTCGCTTGTAAACAGATAAGCAGAAAATATCCGCAACAAACCCCAAAAGGGATGAAAAAGAAAATGAGAGAACATCAGGAAAGCTCACCAATCAAGCAGATGAACATTAAAGCCCCAACTGCTATATTAGTAAACGGGTTACTTTTCGTTTGAGGCTGAGACCTTCGAAGCTGTCTTTGAATAGACTCATACCAACCATTAAGTTGCTTATCATCACAATCTACACCACCACTATTCTTTTCATAGCATTCATCATTTCCCTGCAAGAGGAAAAGATAAACACTAATGGAACTGCATAGAATATGGTAACAAAAAGTGAAAAATAAAAAAACTACAACTCATTTAATACAGCGGTAGAATTTCACCCTAGGAAACTCAGGAGATCTCAACAACCCTGCATTAGACCCTTGATGGCAAGACATTACCTTTGACTTCTTGATGCTATTCTTTGACCACTCCGCAATGGCTGCAGATTCCTTGGAACTTAGGGAACCAGAGCTTGGAGCCCTTCGTGGTGGAACAAAGGACCGACCATTGGAAGAGTTTTTCTGTGAAACATCATCTAAAATTGCAATCTTCCAAGCACCAATGTCAGCAGCACTAGCAGCTCTCCTGATCCCAACTGACTTCTCGCTGTTAGCCTCAGATGAGCTCAACTCAATAGACTGAACTGCATTCTTCAAAAAATCTGGCCCCGATTCTCTATTGACCCCTCGTCGAATTTCATTACCCCTAACTTGTTTCTTAGGACGTGTAGAGCTTCTGGGTAGAGGCGGTGCGGACAAAAATAAAGCAAGTTCATTCCGTTCACCTTCATCCAAATGCATTGATGATTTAACCTCTGAACAAGCTGATTCCTGCAAATATTTTTCAATCTTTAAAATCTGATCCTTAAGTGCTAAGACGAAATCACAATGCCTATCTCTAGCTTCCTCGCTCGGGGAACTCAATTGAACAGCCCTTTCAAACTCTTCTAACTGCAAAAAAAATCAAATTCCTCAAGATCCTAAACCAATTCATGAACGAACCAATCATGAAAATAATGATAGAATGCATAAGATGACCTGCCATTTGGTAGTGCTAATAGTTGTACGTAGATCCCTACCAAGTTCCTCTAAATTCCACTCAGATGAATCGTCTTTTATCGCGTGTATCCATGTCCTATATGTCGATTCCATCCTTTTGAAACGCAGAAACAACCCACAATTTTCAATCAAATAATGGATTAATTGAAATTTTAAATCTTAGTTTTCTGATTTAGGAATCAAACTCATGATTAAAAGTTATAAATTTTCTTTAGATTCGGATTACGAATATAAACCAAATAACATTAATAAAAATTATGAACCCTAAATAATAAGAGGAAGAGATTTACCTGTCAGCGGACTGCTGTACTTCTTCAGCAACAGAGAAGAAAGGATCCTTTTCCCACCGATCAAAACTCGAAGCCATTTCAAAAGAAACGGAGAAATCTTTTAATTAATTAATTAATCAATTAAAAGAAACAGAGAAGAAAGGATCCTCCGTTTCAATTAATTAATCAATTAAGAACGATTAAATGAAACCAAATGAACATTATCCGATTTTTTTTTTTTTTGAAAATGAAAATATGAAGTTCCTACAAAAATTCCGGAACTGAAGGCGGTGATCAACGAAATCTATTAAGATTTGAATTTGGTAGATGAATGAGAAATTACCAGCAGGAGAGGCGGAGACCGATTTATTTAAAACGGCTGGAAAGAAAGGACGCACAAGTTCATAGGCATCGGCGTTGGAATAGCAGCATTTATCGATAATTGGACCTTAAAATAAAGGATAAATTACGAGTTTAGAACCTAACGTTTAACAATTTATACGTTTTAACACTTAAACTTTTAATTTTTACAAAATCATATCTAATATTTAATTTTTATTTTAGTATCTGCGGTTAAAAATTTTAAAAATGTGATATTTTATTTTTTAAATTATTTTTTATATTATTATTTAATTGATTTCATTCAACTAATTAGATGGTGACGCATGTCACCACCTTACTACAAACAAAACTATAAAGTCAGCAGAAATAGATATCTTTAAATTCCAAAGTATATATTTAACCTATACTAAACTATCATTATAAAATGAAAGAAATTTGTTAGATCTATGATTCCAACTTAGAATATCTCAAAAAATATTTAAGCATTTAATTATTAAAAAATATTAAGAATTAATTTAATACATGCCAAAATTATTATTCAACTTATAAAAAATTTAAGTTAAAATAAATAATTTCTGAATTAAAATATTATTTAGAAATAAGAAAATAATTAATTAACTATTTCAAATTATTATATTAATTTATTTAATTAAATATTTAATTAATAATATTAAATTTTTATTCTATCCTTAAAATTATTTAAGTAATTTTAAATATAAATTATTTATTTATTTTCATAAATAATTATAAAATAGAAGTTTCTATTTTCTAAAATTTTAAATATTTAAATACATATATTTTAAACCACTTAGGATACAATACATGTAATTTTAATTATTTAATTATTTTTTATTTTAAATTAAAATGAGAAATTATTTATTTTAATTTAATATTTTTATGTTAAGTAATAATTTTGGTATGATTAAATTAATTTTTAATCTTATTTAATAATTAAATGCTTGAATATTTTGTGAGATGTTCTAAGTTGGAATCATAGATCTAACAAATTCCTTTCATTTTATAATGATAGCTTTAAGTTAAATAAATACTTTGGAATTTATAGCCAACCACATCTGCAAGCTTAGGCGGTTGAGCACTTTATTTTCCTCCCAGAAGACCCAGGATCGATTCCTGGTGAGGCACTCCTTCGAAGTTCATTTCATAGTTTTATTTGCAATAAGTGGTGACACATTTCATCACCTTATTAGTTAAATAAATTTAATAAATAAATAATTTAAATTTTCAAAAATTAATTAAAAATGCTGATGGAATAAAATCAATTAAATAATAATTTAAAAGAAGCCACGTTTACTCAAAAAATTGCACATGGTTCACTTAAACAGATATATTTTTATAAATTTATTCGAGTGGATCAAGAACCGACGAAATTAATTTGTTGTCTTATTATATATTCAAATTTACAAGAAACATCGATTTTAACTTAACAAATAAAATATATATATTATTGAGCAAAGCAGAAGCAAAGCACAGGAAAATGGGCGTTAAATTCACTACTGCTTTCGCGCTTGTTGCAAGTTGACGAGCTTTTCATGCGCTCATGAACGAACGTAAGAATTTGTGTAGGAGGTGCAAACATAAATAAGTATATTAAAACCTTAAGGGTTGTGAGACTACAAAATTTCGGAAGTGTAAAATTAAATAATTCATATAAAATATAAAAAATAATATCTAAAATGCAAGAGAATCTTGAATTTCTAGAAGATGCGATCGTACCCCCAACTTCCCCTCGGTTCATACATGCATACACCTAAATTCACAAAGCTTTGCAATTCATATAAACCCTAATATTTTTAATTTTTTCGTATCCGTTTCAACATCTATATTTAGAATTCTTATTAGATATATTTAAAAGGTTAAATTATCTCCGAAATTTAAAAGGATTTTTAAATAATAATATTAGATTTAAAAAAATAAACTTACATAAAAAATAAATAGACTCATTTAATGTACGAGTTTAACTTGAACACTAACATTTAAATCTCGCTCAACTCGCTTTCTAAATTTAAAATGCATTGAATTATCATCATATATTATTGACTAACTTGTATTTCCAAATACACCCGAAATAATTATATTTAATATTTTTATTTTATAAATAGATTCAAAATATTTAATCTTGATATATATTTAATAGTGTTATAAATTAGTATAAAATATATTTATTAACATCATTATAAATTTAGGTTTTTATTATAATTAAAAAATTATTTATTTATATTCTTTGCTTTTATATTTTAAATACTAATTTTTTGTTTTATTAATCACATTATAACGTGTAGTTACTAATTTAATTAAAAGTATATCGTTTCTTATTTACAATAATTTAATTTATTTCCGATAATTTAATAGGTTTTCTTTATTTATAACAATCACCTATCTAATATTTATATTAATTGTATTATTTGTTTTATTTTATCACGAATGGTGATCTTTCATTCTTATTGCCATATCACTTGTCATAATTTTAGAATGTATTCATATTTGGTTTAAGGTATTACTTTATCTAATATGTGATATATGATATATATCATATAAAATTTAAATTTATAACACTAAATGATTCTGGAGTATTATTTAAACATTAAAAAGTATGTTAGGTTGTTTATGTATAAAAGAGAAAAAAAATAATAGAAATAGAAACATAAAAATAAATACTAAATTAAAAATAGAATAAATATTTTTTATAAGATTATATTAAAAATAGAATTAGGTTAATAATTTATAAATTTTGCTGAACTTACATACAATTTGAGGCATATATTTCAAGTCGAGTTGGACTTGAGTAACATGAAGTGTTAATCTCATACATAAGTTCGATCCGATTTATAGGCAATTCTAATTTGTAGATTATATACTAATAATGTTATTTCTAATATCTAAATTAGAATTAGGGGTGAGTTTAATTGAACTTAACTCGAAAAACGTATCTTTTTTTATTCAATTCGACTTGAAAAAATTTAATACGAATTGACTTGACTCGTAATTTTATAAACTAGATTGAAAAAAAAAATCCAAACTCAAGTTATAAAATATAACTCGAATAATTCGAAATTTTTAGTTATCAAATAACTAATTTTCAAGTTTAAGTCGAGTCTCTCAATTATGCATGATATATGTATATCACATATGAAAAAATATATATGTATTGTATATAATTATAAAAAATGTTTAAATTGAAATCAAATAATATCATAACTGTAATTAAAATTTAAACATAAAATCAAACAACTCGACTCAACTCGAAAAAATTTCAAATAAAATTTGAGTTATAAAATATGACTTTTCAACTCAATTTTTTTAACTCAACTCAACTCGATTAAACGCTGATCCTAATTAGAATTCTCTCATTAAAATACAATTTATAAGATTAAGATTTGTCAAGAAAGGTTATGCTACTTGATGTAAATGCGCGGGAAAGGAAAAGGAATAATATAGTATTGTATTAGTAGATTAATGATTGGCCATTAATGTTCTTGTTCATATGTAATTATGGGACATGACATAGTGCATAAAACGTAATTAATGTAAGGGTAAAGTATACATATGGTCTCCGATTATAGGATATTACTTTATTATGTCTTTTGACTATTAAAAGTTATAAAATGATCACCCGACTATCAATTATGTTCCAAACTCGTCTTTTTCGTTAAAAATTTGACAACAATCTAAGTTGTACGTTAAACTGTTGAGTAAGATATGATATCATATCTTAGTAAACATATCCAACTCAAATGACATTTAATTTTTTAACGAAAAATGATGAATTTAGAACATAATGAATAGTCGAGTGACCATTTTGTAATCTTTAATAATCAAGGGACTCAACAAAATAACATCTTATAATTAGAGGACCATTTTATAACTTTTTAATAATCAAAAAATCCAATAAAGCATTACTCTATAATCATGGCACCATTTATATACTTAATGTAAATATTGGAAGATTTAGGGGACGGGCAAGTTTGCTTTTCTTTTCCTTATCCGTTTCAAAAAAAGACAAAATCAACCGCAATTAACATTATCATTCCACAAAATATATATATTATTGAGTGCTTCAGATTTTCATGAAAGGAAAACATGTTTGACAGTTAATATGTCGAATAATTATTTTAAGTTAAAATAGTAAAATGTTTGGGGGTGTGGAGATTAATTTTCGTCCGACTATATGTTATTCTTTTATTCTTTTATTATTGTATGATACATATACATCATATTTATTTCATTTCTTTCTTCTTTTATAGATTCAACAACGGTGCAAGGCCCGAAACCTAGTTGGCCCAGCACCACCCAACAGAAATCCAAAGCAGTGGATGGCCTGGAACCCACGACCCGCTGGAGCGCCCGAACCGGTTCAGGACCTATTGAAGTTAGGGTTTCTAGAACCCTTGTTTACCCTCTAGCGCCGCATCAGCACCCCAGCCTCTTCAACGCCACTTTTCCAACAACCTGTAACCAACGTCGGTTTCCTCGACAACAACCCATAAAACAACAAATCAGAGTCGTGGACTCATCAACATCAAACAACCGAGTTTTACTCGTAATCAAACTCTAAAAATAGGTTTCTTTTGTACTTATAAATACTCATGTATTTGACACACAAGAGATCACGATTACACTAGCAAATACAGGAGAATACAAAAGCAAAAAAACAATGTGTGACTAAGGCGTTCAAAGCTTTTATTTCGAAAAATAAATTTAAAAAGGTATCTTTTTTTTACCTTTGTTTCTGATTCGTGTTCGTTGCCTGCATGTTGCTCTTTCATCGGTTTTAAAATCGATCGCTGATGACAAAAAAGGGGGTGTTTGAATCGTTTTCTCTAGATCTACACCCCCACGAGGCGAATCTTGGAAAACTATGGTGATTTTTTAGATGAGGAGGGTTCGGGCTTTCAAACGATGTAAAAAAGTTGAGGGTTCGTTGTCGATAACCGACGACTGGCGTCGATCAATGGCGGCCGACGAGGCGGCGTATCATCAGAATCTGGAAACCATGGCGCCGTGTTCTTCGTCTGGAAGAACAAG